CGCTTTTTGTCTATCGGTGATGGATTGCAAATGATCGTTTACTATGCTAAAACCATATGTAAATATGCTCTCTTTATAATTTGTTTTTATTTTTATTGTTTCAAAATAAAAAGAATTTATTTTATACAATATCCTTGCAATATTATAAAATTGTAACTAGACAATGTTTGTGCATGGGATATTTTTGAGAAAAATTGATATTGATAATTGTATTAATAAGAGCAATAGAAACATTTTTTTTTAATTTATCTATCTGTCTGTATGTTTCTTTCGATATTACGCAAAAACTACTGCACCAAATTGAATGTGGTTTTTATATTTGTGTTCCTGAATATTTAACTTAAAATCTAGTATATGTTTTATCTTGACACGTGATCTATTTCATTAATTTTAATACTTCTAAAATCCATACGTACGAAGTAGCTGACAAAAAGATAAATCTTCATATAAGTATAGTATTTATTAGAGTTGTAAATATTACAAAATAAAAATTCTATATTTGTTGTCTATAAATTCCTAACTTATTAAGTTGATAGAGAAAGAAATTTATTAATAATAATACATAATATGTGAAGGCTTAATAGTGAAATAAACATATGACTTTGATATACTGTGTCATAAAATTGTTCATATAGTTTTATATGTGTATTAATCTAATCAAATAGACAAAGCTGTGTCAATGTAATATAGATATGATGAATTGTTAATTTACATATTAATTACTTGTTCTTCAAAATATAAATCATATAGTTTTATCTCTTCATGTTTTTAGGAAATGATTGCCACTTTCTATAAAATGTTTATATGAATATTGTTATAAAGAAAAGTTAATTTACAATACTTGATCTACTAGTGTCTGTCATCTGACCAGTAGCCCAATCTTCGAGAAAACAAATCATTTTTTAATGTTAATAATAATAATTTATTTGCCAGAAACATAGATGTTACAATTTGTTTTTTAATGTCCAATATAGTTCGCCATTTATATATAGCTGTAGTTGAGACGTTATTATACCGACATTAGATTAAATAACAATTGGCTTGTCACAATGTTGTGTTTATAACACAGGTAACTACCGCCACCTATGAGCACCTGCAACACCAGAGGATATGTAAGTGTATACTTTTTATGGAGTAGGTATTTGCCAACTGTATTTTTTCAAACAGTTATAAATAGGTATATTAATCTCAACCAGCCAATCAGCATCCTCTTTTATATATATATATAGATTAAGTATCAGTACGTATTGCATATTCATATTTTAACTCTATCACTGGATTATCTTTGAATACAATAGTATTACATTCTCGTACCAATAAAGGAAACTTATTTAAAACTTACTTCGACGATTTAATCTATAAATCCATATGCATAAGTCTATATAATATATATAGCTATAAATAAAAAAAAACAGAAATTTATCAATTCAAGAACCAAAATCATAAATATTGTCTTTTTCCCGAGTATTTTATATTTATAACTACAATGTTTATCCACGCACAAAACTTTTTTAAATATATAATTTTATTTTTATTTTATAATCTTTATATTGCATTTTTTAAGTAATAAAATATAACCAAAACACCGAGACAAAATAATAGTAAAAAAAAAACAAAATTGCATTAACAATAAAAAAAAGCATCTAAAAAGTCAAGTAGAGAATCTTTCACTGCACGACAGCATCATCGTACAAGTCCCTCGGGGCATGACTAATTGCGTAACTAAACATCCAGGGGGCACGTAATCCGATATTGATGTGTTTGTAAAAACTATCCGATTAGATCAGGGGGACACCCGTACTTTTACAGCGATCTGTTTGCAATTTGTCTAGATATTTTTTAAAAGTTACATAAAAAAATGTTTTATTATTATATTAAACATTAATATTATGTGTATTTTAAAAGTTTCGTATAAAATATTTGATTGTCAAGATGATGATAATTAGATTTTATTAATATTGCCTAATTGAACAGTTGGACGTTTCTTACATATTATGTCTACCATTTCTGGTGCCCATCCTTTGATATGTAAGTATATTCTACAAGCTCCGCTTAATTTAAGTCTAAGTAAAGCTGTCATTGACCTAGGCATATTTATTTTATTATATTTTTAATTTTTTTTAAATTTTAATTTGTCAATCTGGATGTTTATAACTATGTTTTATAATATTTGTAACTCAAAAAAAATTGCATGCCTACAGCAATTTTTTTTATATTACTGCGATAGCAAACAAGCATCCAATTCAAGTTATGGTAAACGTTTACCGTAACCTGCAAAAGCAAGGCCGTTACGCGCGTATTACCGACCTTAAAAAAATATGATCCTTTTTTGAAGAACCTCATGTTATATGTATATTAATTAGTCAATATCTCTTCCAAATTCTACTTATAGTACAGTTTTTAAATAACATAATAATCACGACTATAATTCTTGACGAGGTAGCCAAAAATATTGTGTAATCTGGCCCTTAATTTCATATCCCCAAGCATATTGAAATCCAACGCAGTGGGGGTGAGAATACCGTCGTTTCAAGCTTGATTGGAAATTTAAATTAACATAAGAAAAATGTTTGTATTAGAAAAGAAAAATAGTTTTGTTTTGGTACATTAATTACGTTTCACTTCAGGAACTTTGTAGCCGTTTTTCCTGCTTTATAATCTATATCTGATCTATTTACTTACCGCAGCCTTGCCGGTGTGAATTAACTACTTTATGTATTTATTTAAAATAGGTTTATGTGCTAAGTTTCATTTAAATCTATATTTAAGGGTGACGACATAACAAATATTCAAACTTTCACATTTATAATATTAGAAATAGTATATACTTCGTGTATATAAAGAAATATATATGTATATATTCTTTTATATTCTTTTATAATTTAGTATGGCACAAAATTTGTCTTATCATTTATAAATTGGCATTAAACTATGAATATTCTAACGAATAAAAAGGAGTCTATTTACAGCTTCTTCTAAGTTCACAAATAATATAAAAATTGAGATCATCACTCGTGCAAAAAGCAGGGGGATAGGTGAACAATAGTTAATAATCTATACAAAATGTCGCCCACATCTCGTCACGGTGGCATGACGCGATTGCCCGTGACGCGCTCCAGTCGTCGCGTCATAAATAAATTCCAATGACGTTTTTGTAACACGTGCTTCTATTGTCAAACATTGGTGGCGAAAAATACTTGTAATTCGCATTATAATATGAAACTTAATTTAGATGGTCTTATAATATAAAAATAGTAAATTACCAGGTGTAGCCTCTTTTTATTAGGCGAGGTAGTAATTTTACTGCTCTACCTAGACAATGTACCTACTATGGAATAAATAGAATAATACATTTTATGTCTGTATATGTATGCCTTCATCATCATTATACCAGCCATTAACTGTCCTGTGCTGAACATAGGCCTCCCCCATTAAGGGGGTTTTGCCAATAGATGTCATGCTTAGCAGGCGAGTTAGCAACTACAGTTAGGCTTTGGTGATGTTATAAGAAGGGCATTATTGCCCATCCCTCGACCATTAAATTCGCTTAACCGGCTCTTACAATACCCACAGAAAAGGAAGGAGTTTCCCATCCTACTTCAGGATCAAGTGGATTATTTATACTGATATAACTTCACCATGTTTTTTTTTTTATTATTTAAATATCATGCTACAAGTAAATACTTTTGAGAATATTTCCTTTAGTAAATTTACATATAATAATCAATTAACATAGACTGTAAAATCGGATTAGCCGAAAAAATCGCTAGTTTTTTACCAAGGTATATAAAAATGCTGATATTAACTATTTCTATTTACGGAATGAAATCAAATTATGACTATGTTATATAAATGTAAGGGCATATAATAAACCTGTATTATTATTTGCATTAAAGTTCTGTCAAGCGCTCGGCACGCACGAAACCAGAATAAACAAAACAGCAACTTTCGAATAATCCATTTACGAATTCAATTGAATCCGCGAAGGCGATACGCGTATTTGTAATAAAAGCGAAAAAAATCTTATTTATTTACCCGTTGTAGATCCGCATCCTATCTTCGGCGACACGAGAAGCTACATATCTTCATAAAATAAAACGGGACGAGGAATAACAGAGACGCGCGGCGGCACCGACGACGGTACTGAACGCAAGAAGTCGCGTATTTTATTCACTAGCCGAATGGAGTTTAAAAAGGATTTATTCGCCAATATAAAAGAGAACGTTTGCTACCATAAAAATGGATCAGTTTATTCACGATTTTATAGATTTCTCTGGAATCAATTGTGATTATAATAGGGGCTTAGTAGACGCACACTTATTCCAGTCTCGACATACGTCAAAAGATTTCTTACTATTTTTTACTAGGTGATTGGTGCTTAGGAGCCAGTAATAGCTAATGCAATTTCTTGGATTTTATCTTAAACCTCATAATAAAAAATTAAATAATAACAGATTTTTTTATCAATATACCTAGTTTAATAATTAAATTGAGATACGACTTACGGAACGATTAGTCATCGATTATCTTACCGTCATGATTGAGAACTGTTTATCATCACGGCAAATTCTTAAAAGATAAGCAGAGACAAAATTGATATCGATTATTTACAGTGACAATATACAGTATAGATATACTATGTTATAACATACATGTATGTTAGTGTTCCTTTTTTAAACGATATATTAGACAGATATTTATAAAAATATAGACATTGATGACCATCCATTACGATACCGCCCATATCAGTCGGATATTTAGATATATTCATTACGAGTAGATTCTTCTTTGCGATAATATATATTCTACAACCGATATTTAATATATATGTCTTTGAGCCAATATAGTATAGATATTGTAACTACAATATATAGATATTGACAGTAATACGAGTATATATATATATATATATATATATATATATATATATATAGATTCTAGATAGATAATATTTAGATATTTCCCACCATATATAACGGAATAAATATTGCAGTACTCACATTTTAGTTTCTCCAGCGGCTCGTGATGTAGCGGTGGGGCGTGGTGTAACGGCGCATGCTGGGCCTCATGGTGCAGTGGCGCCATCAGACTCGAGATGGCGGAGCCGACCGACGCCGCCACCGACTCGTGAAGGTGACCGCCACCGTGGAGGTCTAACTCCGAGAGACAGAGTCCATTTTCGCTTAGCGGCTCCATGCCGGCCGCTAGCGCCTCTTTATACACCCGGAGGTGAATGATGATGCTTTGTGATGACTTTGGGGGAATGTCGCGCGGGCGACTGCGTGTGCACGTTAGACTCACGCGCAGACCGTCATCTTCGACCTGGAAAATATGGAATTGTCAATAATCCGCTAAGAACTTTTTATACTCGTATAGGACTGTAATATAGAAATATTGTAAATATTTAACCACTCTAGCCAAGTAGCTTAGTAAAAGATTTATCTAAGTTGATTTATGAATTATATTGTTGGTATATAATATTGGTTTATGGAGAAGTGGGTCTGTTTATTACACCTTCGCACCTTAACAACCGACCAACCGTCATTAAAATTTGTATACAAATAGAATTTGCGATGAAGAAAGGTTTACTCTACTTTTAACCTGATTAATTTATAATAATGCCACAGAAATAAATAGTATTGTTACAGAAGTAATATTGTCTGTATGTAATGCATAATTTTACAAATATTATGCGAAACTGATAAAATTTTATATGAACTATGAGCATAATTTGTACTTTCGTAGCCTCGAAAATGTCTTAATGTTTCTAAAGGCTACTGCTCATACGCCTACGCCGATAAGGCAAACTAAAATCGTATGTAAAAGCTAGTAATAATTAAATAAAAATCTAAGAAATATTTTTTACAAACTTCGATGAACGGATGTCGTTAGAGAATGATTTATTTTTACTTCAGTATGCTATTTTTCTCAAATATAATAATCCTCTATCAAATAAACAAGATCACTTTAATATATCTATCAGTTACTCAACTAACACTTTTTTAACTGTCTTTAAAGAAGATAATCAATTTTCTATCTACAACCGCCGGTATTTAAAGAAATTTCAAATCTCAAAAAATATAACAAATGTGCCAAAATGTTTGGTAAGACAATCCTATTTTTTCAATGATACACTTTTATAAAAGTAAACGTTGTCAACATATCCTGTTTTTTGTCTATATGTTACAGAATTACTTTGCCAATTGAAAAACAAACGATGATTTTCAAATCAATGTGCATTACTCCTCATACAAATTTTATCATGATCACAATTATTTATGCAATGAAATCATTAAATTAATGAGAATCGTGATGTAATTAAAGTCTCTCTATACTTTTTTATATTCGCAACTGCAAAATAGCCCTAATATTACCACATCACATTATAAACATATACATTTACCTAATATTTGTCACAAATATCATAAGATATATGATAAGCTTCCTAGTAATCAAAACAATATCTAAACAACTACTTCTAACTACACCTAATAATCTGATTGTCCGAAATAATATTAGATAACTCATATATTTGGATGAAATGCAAGAAAACCTCATGCGATAAGGCCGTATAGATTATGCTTAAATATAGAAACAGATGGCGCTAAATATCCTGGATAGCCAATAAACGCTGGCTCGAGGATACCAGATTTTTTATTTTTACCCAATCGATCAAAAGTTTTTCTCCAAATTGTTACGACTTCGTTCACTCTTGTCCAATCACTAACTTGTGCTGGTATCCACTATGTTTTGCCATGTAACCACTACGAAAAATAAAAGTATAACTGAATTGAGAAGCTTTTTTTTTATACAACTTAGAATGGCAAACAAGCTGACGATCCACCTGATGGAAAGTGGTAACCGTCGCCTATAGACATGAGCAGTACCATGGACATAACAGAGTATACTATTTCGCCCATGATACCCCCCATGCGTTGCCGCTCCTGAGGACTCAGGTCTTATTCCTCTGTACCCAGTAAATTCACGCCTCTGACTATTTCACCTTGTGTTATCATCATTGATATATTTTGTTGAGATTATATACTGCTATACTGAGAAAAAAAATTACCCAAATTTCCCGACAGCCATTGCAATATTCTCCAAAAATATCTTTAAAATTTTATTTCTCCAAAATTCTGCAAACAGAATTTTATTTTACAAAAATTAAAAAAAGAAATGCCCAGTCAAGCAACGCTGCCTTAGCAGATATCGTGACTAGACATTGCTAGTTAATATGTAAAACCTCATAAGTGACATGTCCGAAGTAGATACACAAGATTATGTAAAGTCGAGTATACGAGTATGTTATCTATGAGAAAGCTGACCTTGGCGCTAACCGAGATTAAGGCTGGACTGGAGATAGCCAAATTCTAAGCAACTGGACTTTACACCATGAAACAATACAGTGACATTGAAATGGGGATCAATCAATAGATGTATAAAAGAATGAAATAAATAATAGAAGTATAAGAAGGTCAATGACACCGAATTTAAGATATAAAGAAACAGGTATTTACATATTAAAGTCAGATTATTAATTATTAGGTAAATAGATGTATTCCAAGTAAGTCAACATGAATTAATAATCTACAATAAGGCTATATTGTAGATTCATTCAGATCATAAGGATTGGACAGATAATAGCTGAGATGATAATAATAATAATAAACTCTTTATTGCGCATAAAAGAGATTTATACGAGAAGTATTTATACAGAATGTGCATATACAAAAGGCGCTTATCGCTAAAAGCAATCTCATACAGATAACCTGGCATAAATAGTAATTAATGATGATGCTGCAGGTCTACCATTATACTAAATTTAATTCAAGTCTGTTTAAGCGTGATTGAGTAATAAACATCCTCAAAATGTTTACATTTATAGTATAAGTAGGATGAATTCAGACAAAATATTAATCATAACGGTAAAAAATACTATCATCACAAGACGAAAATATTAAGACAACTTTCATTCACAAACTAAAAAGCTCTACACTCGTTCGTTGTCCGTGGAAGTTCCTAGGGAAAATAAATCAATTCCAAGCATCAACATGATTTAAGGTCGAGCACACATGACAGTGTTTGAACGATAAAAACAACAAGCGTCATAAAAAAACGGAGATATATAACTTTACTGCTTTCATATTTCAAATAGCCGTGTCAGTGCTGGAGTATCGTTTCATTGTGCACATAAAATACCGGTAGGAAAAAGGTATACATGTGATTTATTGGTTTAATTGCCTTTTCCACATGCGAGCAACTAGGTGCAGCCGAGAATTCAATATTCAGCTAAAATAAAAAGAGGATTCGCCGTAGTCGCGCCGATACGCGAATGTGCTCACTTTTGCACCTTTCCGTTCGATGAAATCGTAATAGATAGAAATTGTGTACTTATATACGCCTATATGTTTAAACTTATTTATGAAAATTTTATAATCCCAATGTTTAAATGGGTCCCGATGTATTTATTTTACTACATGGAATAAAAAGTCCTAGTTATTCCTAATATATAATACTAAGTGTATGATAAACTTTTTAAGAATTTATTGAATGGCAATTGGCAAGGCAATAGACGATAACGAATTTACCAAAAAAAATTCCTATATAGTATAGATAATATATACTCTAAAATAGCAAAGCATTAAGAGTACTGTGGGCATTAGTTATTCTCATACTCATATCAGCCGTTAACTGTCCATTGTTGAACATCGACCTCGCCCATAGACTGCCATAAGGAACAGCCCCGAGCTACCTACATCCATTGACATTACAGTATATTACATTTATTTACGTATCTGTATTTTATACTAGCGCCAGTGTACAGTAATTTAAACTAAATAACAATTTTTAAATATAGAACACGCACTTTAATTAATTTTAATTTAATTAGTGCTGTGATTTCTCAGGGTAATAAAAGTGAAGTAAGATGTTGATCCAGAATATAATTCACTAAGTATTTTCATCAACGTATTTCACGTTATCCATATAAAGTGTTTGAAGGATAATGTCCTTGTACCATAAGATCAGAGCTATAATCCAAAAGATCCAGTGGCATACGAAACGTCACATGAATCAGTCAAAGAAAAATAACAACAAACGAAAAGTAAACAATACTGCACATAACGAGATATTAATCTTGAGCCGCGGTGAGTAATTGAGCAAAGCCAAAGCAGCAATCGAGTCGGGTGAGCCTCTCTCATCCCTTTAAACCGACGTAAAGCCTTTTTTAAGCCGAAAGATTTAAGTTGGCGAAAGTGCCGTGCTCTATTAAAACGCCATCTCATTCGAATTTTACTCGATTCCTCCGATCGAATCGAGGAATCGAATGCGATCAAATGACGATTGTCGCATTGTCTACAGTTTGTTTTTTCCGAATTGACATATTTAGTAAACAATCTTGGTATATCCTCTTATCGAATTATCAGTACATTAAATGAACAAACAGCTGCAATAAAAATGTTGTTATGTTAAATTACCTGTGGAGTGTTATTCATTATCTATCTTATTTTTAATTTACTAATTTGAATAAAAAGTCGTGCCAAGGTAGTTTACTAAATATGCCATGTAAGAAAAAAGATTAGATATACGTTGGCTCACATTTGTTTACATAAAGCAAACGTAGCTTGTTTTATTTATTAATGTTTTCTAATATTTTAACATATTATATCATTGCTGTTTTTCAGTTTTCATACAGTCAATGTCGATTCCATAGCATAGTCTCTTAATGTACGAAACATGAAAAAGATACGATTTTTTAACTGACCAATTTAGACAATAAATTTATTAAAATTCAATCAAAAGATTTTTAGAATTTTAGTTTCTGTCTATAATAATATTTTTGCTAGATAGCTTGACGTAACTCGCAACTATGTCTGTCTAAATTAAGATAAAAATCGTCCTATATGGCTACATGGTTTATCTATGAACCAAGTTTCATTCAAATCTGTTTAGCGTACTGATTATTCGAACGTCTTTATTCACATTTATAATAAAATTAGAGATATTGGTGTAACATTTATTACAAGACATAAAAAAAGGGTAATTATGTAAATTAATATTTATCACTCAATTAAAAAAAATACCAAAGCTATATCACTAAAAGATATTCCATATCTAAGTATATTCATATCACTTTTGCAATTATAGTGTAAAAATATGATTAGATATAAACAGGGACAAATGTACCTACTTACCTAATACTTTGTAATCACATACCTACATAGAATTATTTAATATTATTCGATATCATATATATATATATATATATATATATATATATATATATATATATATATATATATATATATATATATATCCCTTCG